ATTTCAAAGACCTAGTATAATTTTTTTAAACCATGTGAAATCTCTCAATAATAATTTTAAAATATTACATGTTGAACTAATACATTAGATATATTGGATTAAAAATAAAATATATCATTCAATTTATTTCATTTCTTTTTATTATTTTAGGGTGCTACTAAAACTTTTAGTTATTTAGTGGCTTATAGTATACTTCTATCAAACAGCACTAGTGAGATGACAGAATAGGAGCCTACAAAGAGGCAACAATGGAGGAATAAAGAAGAAACATATTTAAGATATTCAACAGAAAAAAAAATAAATGAGGGAAAGAAAAATGGAAAAGTTCCAGTTATTTCTGATCTTGGTGACTGGGGTTGTGATTCCATTAACAATTGGAGCTGGGCAAAGGGGTAGGAAATGTGATTAATTTGAAATTTGTTAATGTTAGATTTTTTTTTTTTTTTTTTTTTTTTTTTTGGTATTCCAGATGGAGATGTACAAGTGGTTGTAAATACTGGTCTGGCTCTCAGTAAAGAAGTCTGGGATAGGGTCAGAATTTTATTTTATTTTTATTTTTTGAGATGGAGTCTCACTCTGTTGCCCAGGCTGTAGTGCAGTGGCACCATCTTGGCTCACTGCAACCTCTACCTCCCAGGTTCAAGTGATACTCCTGTCTCAGCCTCCTGAGTAGCTGGGACTACAAGCACCCGCCACCATGCCCAGCTAGTTTTTGTATTTTTAGTAGAGATGGGGGTTTCACTATGTTGGCCAGGCTGGTCTTGAACTCCTGACCTCATGATCTGCCCGCCTCGACCTCCCAAAGTGCTGGGATTACAGGCATGAGACAGTGTGCCCAGCCAGTGACAGAATTTTAGAACTATCCAAAGATAGGTAGTCCTTAAAGCTACTGAAGTATAATAGTTGAGACGACTTAGAAAGTAAGTATACTGAGACACTTTAAATGAAGATCTAATGAGCCCTAATGATTAAGAAAAGGAAGAGGAGGGCAGGGATATGACAAAGAAGATTGTGAAAGGACAGAGAAGTAAAACAATCATACATACATACATACATACATACCCACAAGAGAAGGATGTTCTAGAGGCCGAAGGAAGTAGAGGGTAGTCAACAGCACTACACGCAGAAAACAAACCATGGAATGTGGAAGTCTGAGTCTGGACCTTGGTGAGGGCAGTGTTTGTAAAATAAGATAATAAGATAAATGTTCTATGAAAACTGAAAAGTGAGTAAGAATTGAGAAAAAGGAGTTGTCTCATTCAAGAAGTTCAGTTGCGGCCGGGTGTGATGGCTCACGCCTGTAATCCCAGCACTTTGGGAGGCCGAGGTGGGCAGATCACAAGGTCAGGAGTTCGAGACCAGCCTGACCAATATGGTGAAACCTTGTCTCCACTAAAAATACAACAATTAGCTGGGCGTGGTGATGGGTGCCTGTAGTCCCAGCTACTCAAGAGGCCAAGGCAGGAGAATTGCTTGAACCCGGGAGGCGGAGGTTTCAGTGAGCCAAGATCACACCAATGCACTCCAGCATGGGAGACAGAGTAAGACTCTGTCACCAAAAAAAAAAAAAAAAAAAAAAAGTTGTTCAGTTGCAAAGATAATGAAGTGAAGATTCGAAAGAAGTAAAGGTCTAGGGAAGGCAAGAGAATGTGGACGATATCTTATGAGCCAAGAAATACCTTTTAAGTTAAACAAAATAAAATTAGCACTGTACTAAACCTTTAGGTAAAATACAAACTCCATCAAACACATTTTTATTCTAAGCAACAAAACAAAATTTCACAGAAAAATATATTTGGAATCTAGTTCAAACTAACAAATCTTTAGCAGTGTAACTATATACACAAACACACACACACAGGGTTTGGAAAAATGGAGAATATGTCTTCAGGAAAAGCCACATTTATATATTATACTTCTACAATGTTTTATCTTTTATACACTAATTTACATTCATGGCAAAGTTATACAATTACAACAAGCAAACCATTTTATTTGAATTGCAGTTCTGTTTGTAACTTGCATCAAGATTCATCTGGTAAAAATGTATCAAAGCAAATTATAAAAACCTGCACTGAGAAAGACAAATGCTTAAATAGTTGTACATTGCTTCCATTCCCTTTCTACTAACATATAGACGACAGTAACCAAGTGGACACAGACTAACAGTGCTACCTAAAAATGCTTTGTTTCTCTCATTAACAGCATCACTTATGTTTATATTGAGTACTCTCATTTTTAGCTATTTTTCATTCATGACTTGGTAGTGATACCTCAAGAAATCTTTCTCATATACTTAACTACCACTCTTCTCCTTTTCTTCTTCTAACTCTTGCTCAACTCACACATATTTTTTTTCTTTGTTTTCTCAGGCAAGCCAAAAGTTAACATAAACACAAATCGTAATCATGGCTCACAAAAGTAACATCAATGAGGTAACCAGACTTTAATTTTATTGGCTAATTTCAAAATTATAATGTTTTTCAGGAAAACAGTTTTAGTTATTTTGGACTTAAGGTTTTTTGAGAGTTAGTCTTTGAATCTACTACTCCATTTCAAACATTTTTTCAATGGAAAACAAGTATTCAAAGTGCTATCCAATTAAAAAATTGTTTGAAATACAGGAAGAAGTCCTCACATTCAAGATATTCTAAAATGTTAAGTATTTCGTAATTAAGCCTTAGTATGAAACTTCCTTCAGAGCATCAGAGATCTAATACATTTTGTGTTATAAGATAAATCATTGTGGATATGCCCTCTTTAGGGGGCAAAGGAAAAAAAGGTTCAGAATTTAAGTATCCTAGTTGAAAGGTATACATTTATCATGCTAAGGAGGATTAAAATCACATATTAAACCTTATGTTGAACAATTTTCAAATATACACAAACTGGCAATCTATCAAAGTCAAACAGCTTCAATTAATTTTTGCATAATGTTACAGAATAAAATCTAAGACTTACCTTAACATAACCTTCCAATGCACTGAATTTAAACACTGCCTGAAAAGGTTTTCGGTCAATAGGACATGAAGCCAGTGTCTGAAAAGTGATTAACAAATTATATCTTACAAATGCTTCTTTAGAATAGATCAAAATTATAAATATACTTATAAATGTTCCATAAAAAAGAAAAATATTTTCATCTCTATCTTTGAAAGAAAAATATTTTATATCTTAAATTTGTTTCATTCATTCAAACATTTACTGAATACCTCCTGTATGTTAGATAATTGGAATACAATGATGAACAAGACAGAATCTGTTTTTAAAATCCCATTAAGATATGCTGCCCAGTTGAGAACTACTGGTATAGTGAAAGATGAGTTGGGCTAACAGCAGCAGTTCTGTGATGTAAAGCTGGCTGCTATGCCAAACTTAGGCCATTCCAAATGGCTTAGAAAGGTCCTTCCCAAACGTTAATATTCTGTGACTTAATATTTCTCCCCAATATTAGTTACATTAAATAGACAGTTGCACCAGCAATAAAAATATTTAAAAGATATGAAGAAAATGAAGTACTCCTCCACCCCTCTGCTCAGCCACCTAGATGGCCACTCCAGAGGGTTTCTTATATATAACCTTTTGTGGATATCCACTGCATATACATATATGTGTATCTTTTTAACACATACACTTAAGACTGATTCATATTAGTAATTCAGAGCTGCCTCATCCTTAACAGCATGGTATAAATAAGGGTTTTTTAGTTTACATTTCCTTTTATAGGAGTAAAGTTGAGCATATTTTCCTATTTTTAAGGACTATTCAGAGTTCCTTTTCTTTACGCTGTCTATTCATGTTCTTTGCTTAGGTTTTTATTAGGTTGCTACTCTTTTTCAAATTGAGTTGTAGGTGTTATTTATTAAGGAAATTGGTCCTTAAATCATTCTGATTATAAATCAACATTATCTTGCTTTATTTCCTGTCCTTTTAAAATTCCTGTGCATCGACTGTAAGAGTTTCTCTGATAAAATTATTAAATATTTGTATAAGAATGGGTTTACATTATTTAAAGAATCTAAAATGGAGTATATTTTCTATTAGGGTAGAAGGGAAAACTCTGCAAAGGGCATACCAAAAGGTGATATTATTAATACCTACTGTTACTAAAATAAAACAGAATTTTAACAATCTAATAGCAAGTCTTAAAGAGGAAAGATAGTAATGGAATCTAGATAAATTATGTAAAAAACGTGATCTTTGCCTTTCGGGTTTTATCATGTATCAAGATATGCTTATACAGATAAAGGTAGGACAGTTTGTGTATGGTCCTTGATTATTTTACACATTTTCACAAAGCTCACAAGTCACTCTAGAAGCAGCCAAAACATGAGCTGAGTTACCATTTTCTCTTTTAAACGGACTTCAGTGGGAAAACAGCTTTACCACATCTGAATTAAGAAATGTGACTTTACTATATTAAATTGGTTCAGACTAGAAAAAGCCAGTTCAGCCTACTTTTAAGTACTATGGATTTAGAAGGCTATTACTTTCCCTGTAGAAAACTTGACCTTAAGAAGCTTTGCTTCAGTAACAAAGAAGTTCATATATTTTTTAATAATGCATTGTCTAGTTCAAAGAACTATTAACTATTGTTGTTTATCCTGATGGCATACACTGTATGATTTCTTATGTTAGAGAATTTATTAATGCTGTATTTACAGTTTTCAAAAATATTTAAAAGTAAAATCTGGCTGAGCGTGGTGGCACATGCCTGTAATCCCAACACTTTGAGAGGCCAAGGCAGGAGGATACCTTGAGCCCAGGAGTTTGAGGCTGCAGTGAGCCATGATCACATCACTGTATTGCAGTCTAGGTAACAGAGTGAGATCCTATCTCTGAAATACAGATAAATAAAATAAAAAGTGAAAACTTTCTAGTGCTTCCTATTTTTACAAAAACTTCAAAATATATTTTTTATTCCTATTTTAAAGGTAAATTTAGAGACATTAATAAAAAGATTATGCCGTGATAAATGAAAATTTGTTCCTTTTTTTTTGGTAAAATCTACTAAGATGTATACAGGCTGTGAATTTACTGTATGACATTCGTATCTTGTCGTTTGTGTAAACTTGAGCAAGTTAGTCTCTCTGTGCCTCAGTAACCTTATTTGTGAAAATGAGAAAAGAACTTACTTCTAAGGTTTTTGTGGGAATTATAATTCCTAGAAGAAAGTGTGGCATATACTGAATATTAAGTAGGTCTTGTAATCAACTAGCTTTAGTAACAAAAAACTTAATTAACAAAAGACAACCACAATATGATACATACACACATGAGAGACAAAAGAGTTCCTAAGAATTTTTATTGGAATTTGCAAAGCTTATGACATATAAGGAAATCCAAGTACTTTATTATTTTAGCTGTTTCGATTTTTGACACTAAGATCCAAAGAAAGCCATGTGTTCAAGAAATTTAATCAGATGCATCAAACCTTTCAAAAACTCTCAAATCATGCAAACTCATTTTTTCTTTATTAAATTTCCTCTGTCAACATCAGCTAAACTGCATTCTGTCCTTTACAATTTTTTCTTTCATTTCTTTATTTTTATTTATTTTTTGAGACAGGGTCTCGCTCTGTCACCCACATTGGAGTGCAGTGGTGCTATCATGGCTCACCACAGCCTTCGCCTCCCAGACTGAAATCAGATGATTCTCCCAGGTCAGCCTCCTGAGTAGCTGGGACTACAGGTGCATGCCACCCTGCCCAGCTAATTTTTGTATTTTTCGTAGAGATTGGGTTTTACCATGTTCCCAGGGTGGTCTTGGACTCCCAGGTTCAAGCGATCCACCTGTCTTGGAGGGGTTACTGGCATGAACCACTGCGCCCAGTATTCCTTTTATAATTTTGAATTATGACGGTTTTAATCTAAGCTGTTACTTAAGGTTTTTTGTTGTTTTTTTTTTTTTGGTAGGGTTTCACTCTGTTGCTCAGGCTGGAATGCAGTCACCTGATCACAGCTTACTGCAGGTTTGAACCCCTGGGACTCAAGTGATTCTCCCAGTTTAGCCTCCCAAGTATCTGGGACTACATGCATGTATCACCATACCTGTGTGTTTTTTTTTTTTTTTTTTTTAACATTTTTCATAGAGACAGGGTCTCACTATGTTGCTCAGGCTCATCTTGAACTCCTGGGCTCAAACAATCCTCCTACCTCAGCCTCCCAAAGTGTTAAGATTACAGGTAGAGCCACCATACCTGCTCTGAGCCATTCAATTTGATCTGTTTCAAATAATAGAGCTGTGAGTAAGAGTTCCCTTCTTTTTCTTCCTTAAGCATGATTGCCTTAAATTTATCTAAAGTTTCATTTTAAGAAAAGGTTCCACTGGTATTACAAAAACATAAAGGAAAAACAAGAAAAAAAAAGTAGTAGTAGGAAATCCACTGTCATATATCACCACAGTCTGTATATACTGTAATTTCCTGAAGATAATTTAGTTAACACCAGAAAATGATTTTCTTTGACACAGGCTCAGCCATCAGAATTTTTTTTTTGTTTTTGGACAGGGTCTAACCCTCTCGCCCAGGCTGTAGTGCAGCCGCATCATGGCTCACTGCAACCTTGACCTCCCAGGTTCAAGCGATGCCCTCACCTCAGTTTCCCAAGTAGTTGGGACTACAGATGTGTACCACCATGCCCAGCTAATTTTTTTGTATTTTTTGCAGAGATGGAGTTTTGTCATGTTGCCCAGGCTGGTCTCAAGCTCCTGAGCTCAAAATCAGCCCACCTTGGCCTCCCAAGTGTTGAAATTACAGGTGTGAGCCACCACACCCAACCCTGACTGGCCTAATGTTAAGAAACTCCCAAGGATGCCTCACTCTTATATTGGGCAGATATCTATCCAGAAAGGTCTTGAAGATGTTTTAATTTCAGCTTTCAGAGTAGAATTTACGATTAAATTTCTAAGTTGTGAGGTTTTAAAAGTTCACATTTTAAACTAATGTAGAGAATTTTTAACTAATACTGTATTTTTAAAAATTATTTTAATTTTGAAGAAAATTATCTCAAATTTTGTTTCCTTAAATACAATAAAAATATCCAATTATTTACTATTTTGATTCCTTATATACAACAAAACATCCTTCAATGATTCATTGTTTTAATTAATGACTTTCATTTCAATAATTTTTAAACTATCTAATTCAGTTTCATAATCAAGTAGTCTAATAACATCATTGGCTTTATGTTAAATCCTGTTAATTGGACTACAAAATTAACAGGATTTGCTCACTGCTTTACAGTGTAATGTGTATTAAACAGAACATACATTTTACTGTGAATGCTCTGTACTAAGGTTCTATCAGTTAAGGAGGCAATTTTGACAGGAAAAAACTAATCTTTATGATTTCAGTAAAACATGAAAAAGCTACTATTCTAAAGCATTGTAAATTCTCAGCTCAAACTCACATTTAAATATAAGAACAGGAAACCTTCCTTATTTGGGAATTCAGGATCCTCAATTTCCAATTTTTCGCTTCCTGCTGCTGCTCTATCCTCAATCACATAGGCTGCTTATAGACAGCCCCTCTTAGAAACAAGTGTTAAGTGCTTAAAGACTAAATCTCAGTACCTATGTTTATAGGTACGTTCGCCTGCTCAGGGGAATCTCAAACATCTCTCCTACTAACAAAATAGAGAATATTATATAAAAATTCTAGCTCAAAATCAAATAAAGATGACGTAGGAATGCATACCGTTAGAGGCTAATGCTTATTCTAAAGCTATTTTCCAGAATCTATCTTTTTTCATTTATGGCTACAAAATACCTCACCTGGACTTCCAAATTAATTGCTCACCTGCAGTCAGTCTACATGCTCCCTATCACATTTAACCAGTTCTTTCAAGACAGTCTTTGTCAGTCCATATTAGTGAAACTGTGGGTCTTTATAACAGCTTTCAGAAGTGTATCCCTAAAGGTCAAATGGCTGTCAGTGATAAAATTAACCCCTATTAAGAATGCATTTCATCAAACTACTCAAAGAAAATCTCTTCATGTTCTCTAAGACACTTGATAACAGTTGGGCAGAATTATATTAATCTTAATTTCTTCTGACAATTAAGAGTTAACACTTTATCTAGTATAAAAACAAAAACCTCAGTAAACTACCTGCATCAATCATTTTGCATATTCTGACATTTAAAACTAGGCTACAAAGAAATGCATACTAATTTACCTGACTGGTAAACAGAGTACTTGAAACTCTTTTAGATATATGCTTTAGGTAATTGGTCTTCACAATTCAAAAATCCTCATTGCTCTACCAAAAAATTTCACAAAGGATTAATTCACAGGGTGAAAACAGTGGTGGATCTGAAAAAATTAGCTACAAGTTCAAGTTCTGGCGGAGCTAGCAATCACTCCAATCCACACTAAGGATGAAGATGGAGAGAGCACTGATTACCTATTGCACAGGTGTAATAAATTTTAAAATGTATTTGACAATACTTTATAAAGGACTAATGTTAGTAGTACTACACAGATGCATATACATTACTGTTCACAGAGCGCTACAAAACAGAGAGGGTTCTGGGTTCTGGTTAATTTTTTTTTAAATTAGAATTTGAGGAAAAACTGATCGAAAAATCCCAGACAATAAAGCTTCACTAAATTATATTACTGAAAAGTAGTCTAATAACCAGAATGGAGAAATTTCCACTTAGAAACACACGTATATAAAGCATATTTGTAGTCCAGATGTAAGTCAACTCATGTCTTGATTTTTTGGTATACATTATTAATTCAAAAATATAATCCTCATCTATGTTGAACATTGTTGACTTCTTCAAGAACTGCATGTCACCTAAATGAGACTTTATTTCTAGTTTCATGAGAGATGCTTTTTCCAACTGCCCAATTTTGATTTCATTAACCTTACTCTCTCATATTGAAGCTACTGGCATTTGATACAAAACAGATGACTGAGATAAATAAATTGGGGAAGAATAATCTGCTTACCATGGGAAACTAATCACATTTTTAAAAATAATACTTAAAAAATAAGGGAAATATTTCATATTACTTAAAAGGAAAAAGAATGCCAGCAGATATCAAAAATATCCTCATCACATATGCTGCAGTTTCCATTAAATAGTGTAAGAACTCTTAAATGCTTTAAACATATGTCTTCAAACCATGACCCTTTAAGGGTCAAAGTTTTAATCACTTCTCAGCAACTGTGGTAAATAATGAATCTTTTTTTCTTTTTTGAGACAGGGTCTTATTTTGTCACCCAAGCTGAAGTGCAGTGGCACAATCACAGCTCTCTGTAGTCTTGACCTCCCATGCTCAAGTGATCCTCCAAGCTTCCCATCTCAGCTTCCCAAGTAGCTGGCACTACAGGCATACTCCACCAGGCCTGGCTAAATTTTGTACTCCTCACCCCACCGCCCCACCCCGCCCCAGTAGAAATGAGGTCTTAGCATGTTGCCCAGGCTGGCCTTGAACTCCTGAGCTCAAGTGATCCACCCTTCTTGACCTCCCAAAGTGCTGGGATTAGAGGCGTGAGCCACCATGCCTGGTCAATAAATCCCATTTACTTAACTATGTGTGTGTGTAGGAGATTATCTTGTCTGTAGGAAATCATAATTATAATCAATTGTCACTACTACAATGTGTGTCAAGACTTCTCTGTCCTTTACCTTCCTAATAAAACTGTGCAAGCTAAGATAAATTTATTAAAAGCTATCAATAAGTATATATCTGTTTTTTGCTCACAGTATGGGTAAAATAACTTTCTAACTGAATAGCCGATAAACTTTAGTATACTGGCTCTCTATACATTTAATCCATTCAAAGGTCTTTTAATTTCAAATTGTTGGCTCTAACAGTGATGGTTTAAATTAACAAAAATTTCAGCCTCCCTTAATGTCAATTATTGTGTCACTGTTCCATATTCTATTTTATATAATCATCATTATTTTATAAATCAACAGGCTTACCATCTATGGATTCCTAGAAACTAAAAATAGTCACAGTGGACATGATTAATTTCAATTTGTTCTAGTGTCCCTAAAGGCAGGCAATTAGGCTATGGGCCATGAAGTCTATCAGAGGTTCACCCTGAATCCTTTTGCCCCAAGAGGATTCTATGACACACCTAAAGAGTTTTACTTAATCACTTTAAATTTCCTATCTAGCTTTTGTTTAAATAACCACAAAACCGAAATTTTAGAGCTTGGAAAGACTGAAACTAACTTTGATCTGTGTGTCCAAAACAAACACTATACCACAAAACACTTTAATTACTCAAAACACCAGTTTCTTAAAGACCAGTGTTTGTAAGAATGTGTTCCATGCCTAAAATATTAAGATGAAAAGTAAATAAATGAGTCCTTTTTTGGTGCCTGATATCCATTCTGAATCATATTTCAGTGAACCTTGGGCACAAATCTCAGAAAGCACAGAAATTTTGAAAGATACAGAAATCTAGAAAGATGATCCTAAATGCAAATTGTACTGTTCTCTTATTATGCAGATTTCTGAGCACTGTAAATCTCACTTTGATTTCTAGTCTTCTACTAGAAGTGAACATTCATCCCAGCAATTTGGGAGGCTGAGACGAGAGGACCCTTTAGGTAAGGAGTTTGAGGCCAGGTTGGCAAATACAGGGAAACTCCATCTCTACTAAAAATACAAAAACTGAGCCTGGCATGGTGGCATGTGCCTGTAATCCCAGCTACTTAGGAGCTAAGGCATAATTATCGCTTGGCCTGGGAGATGGAGGTTGCAGTGAGCCGAGATCATGCCACTGCACTCCAGCCTGAGTGACAGAGTGAGACTCTGTCTCAAAAAAAAAAAAAGTAAACATTTGTAAAAATATAAGCCACAGATCTTTTTTTAAAAAAGATTTTAACTTCATGCTATCCCCGAGGTACTTAAAAATCACAATTTTAGAATCCTTGTCTTGTATAGCAAATAAAGATTAACATACTGAATTAAATGAAATTAAATGTCAGAATGTGTAAGAAAGCCTTAGTATAAGACATGGCCTGTTAGGAGACTGAAAACAC